TTCTTTTTCTTCTTCTTTTTTTTTTTTTTTTTTTCTTCTACTTCTTCTTTTTTTTCTTCTTGCAGGCCACGGCTCATACGCAGATTTTTTATCGGTTAAAAGCTCAGCCGATTTGCCCATCATTGCCGGGAAAATCGGCCGATTGGTAAAATCGGACGATTTTTTTACAACTTCACCGATAGAAAAATGTGCCAAAACCCCAAAAAACGGCTGACCAATTAACCCATTAAAGGTGAGAAAATCGGACAATTTTTTTTTTTCGGCCGAAAAATCAGACCGATTTTCGACCCGTCTATGGCCTGCATTAGAAGCTGATTACCTACCGTGAACAGCTGCACCAGATTTTGCACTCTCCAGTTTTAGTAAATCAACTCCTAAGGCTGGCCATACACTATACAATTTTCGGTCCAATTTCTGCCCAATTACATTTAGATATACCTTCAACTATGTAGTGCAAGAGACTGCCTAATTGGATACAATTGAAAGTGTTGTTAGGTATGACCTCCTATTATATGGTTTTTGGTAAATCTAAAGCAAAAATCTCAAGAAAATTGTATAATGTATGGCAAACCTAAGTGTTTACGTGAATGCTTGATGTTGAACTAAAAAAAAAACAAAACTGAAAAGTAAATTAAGGCTGATCGTACATTATACAATTTTCTTGAGATTTTTGCTTTAGATTTACCAAAAACCATATAATAGGAGGCCAAGCCTAAACAACACTTTCAGTTGTATCCAATTAGGCAGGCCCTTGCACTACACAGTTGAAGGTAAATCTAAAGGAAATTGGGCAGAAATTGGACAGAAAATTGTAAGAAAATTGTATAGTGTATGTTCAGCCTAAGGGACGCACACTAACTAGTGTCAGGATACCTTAACACAAAAACCACATAAAGTAGAACTACTGGAAAAACTTTTTGTCATTTTGAATTGAGTACGCACAAATGTCTGCAGCCACACCAGCCAGACAGATGAATGAGGGACCCACGGGCAGGTGCCATTAATTCTAATGGCACGCCACCCGCACTGGAAATTGCAACCGTACTGGGAACCTTGGTTCCAGTGTGGCCTGCGATTTCCAAAGTAGTGTAGGGACTTCTTCCGTGCATGTCCCGGGGCACGGGAGTCCATTCAAATGAATGAGCACTCATGCCCTCCCAAATCGCGGCCCTCACGACCACACAGATGTGAACCAGGGCTAAGGGAGGGTTATAACTCCTGTCAGTTTATTTTTTGCTATCTGTGTTCCATTTGAGAGATTTACATTGACTTCCTGTCCCATAGCTAAACCAGGAAGTGAGAAAAAATCCATGCAAATTAACCGCTTCCATACCAGGCACTTTTACCCCCTTCCTGCCCAGGCCATTTTTCAGGTTTCAGCGCTCTCACAATTTGAATAACAATTGCGCGGTCATACAGCATTGTACCCAAACTAAAATTTTATCAATTTCTTCACACAACTAGAGCTTTCTTTTGGTGGTATTTAATCACCGCTGGGGTTTTTATTTTTTGCTAAATTAACAAAAAAAGACCAAACATTTTGAAAAAAAACACACACGTTTTTCTTTGTTTCTGGTATAAAAGTTTGATAATAAATAAATAATAAATAATTGTTCTTCATAAATTTAGGCCAAAATGTATTGTATGTAATGTATTTTGACATTAAAATGTTATGGGCAGAAAGGGGTTAACATGAAGGGGCAATCAAAGGGTTAACTGTGTGCTTGGAGTGTTTTAGTGTGGGGCGGTGTGTTGGTGCTTTATTGTAAGGACACTGCTCTGAATGACTGAGGGAGGAGGACTGTTAGTAAAAAAAGCAGTCCTCCTCCCCGACGGAGATCCTCGGTAATCTCCGGGCGCCAGCGGGTAATCACCAGCCGGGACCAGGTGATGGACAGCCACGGTCGCGAATGGCAGCGCGAGTAGGGCATGTGCGCGGCTCTTGTGTGCCCCCTACCTGGAAATGCAAAATCATATATATATATAATGTGATTTTGTGCACCCCTGCCACCCTGTAGCAGTATATCTGCTATAGGGCGGCGGGGAAGCGGTTAAGCCGACAATGGATTTGAGTCCATAAACAACTACAAAAACATTCCAGCAATCATAGAGAAAGATAATGGGAACTATAGTGCATTACCACCTGATCAAACTCTATTAAATAAAACATGTATAAACTCACAAACGGGTTCAATAGTTTGCAACATACAGTATAGTGCGGTACAAATAAAGTCAAAAGGCATATGTGGAGGATGGGTATAGGGTTAATATTCCCTCTGGAGGTACCATCCCTCAATATAAATGTGAAACAACAGCACTTGGAGTTTTGACTATAAATGTACCTCCCATGGTATAAGACAAAAACAAATATCAGTACATAAAATCAATATTTTATTAAACACATATATTAGTATCATAAATACACATAATAAAAAAATGAATAATATTAAGAATGTCGCTTGGAATATAACTATATAACTGTTCAAAAGATCCTAGTCTTAAATGGCCAACGCTTTTCGCGGAAAAAACACTTCCTCAGGGCCTTGGATCTCGTTTGTACAAACACAAGGACAAAATAAATATAATTAATGACATCATATAACAGTCATAGCACTATAAGCAATGATATGTAACAATTACATTACTATGTCTGTGTCATGTAATTGTTACATATAATTGCTTAGTCAGTTCCAATGATGATGACAGTTCCAATGCTTTACTCTATGCGTTTTGTCCACTAAGACATCTTCAGAGAGCAAGATTATTTAACCCTTTCATGACCACAATATACCTTTTTAGGTCCCTTGCAGTGAGAATGCTAAATGGTTAGTTTGCCTTCACCAAAAAAAACTACCTATGCAGATAAGGGGTGTCTGTAGATAAAAATAAACTGTGCAGCTTAGCCTAAAGTTGAATAATGCCCTTGCTATAGGTGTAGGCCATTTACCTCACGAAGCCTGACTGGAATACTCTCAGGACATTATATGAGGCCTAGTCATTACTGCTTACCTCCTCCATCACAGGAGGGAGCTCTCAGACGCTGAGCTACTACATCATGAGAGAGTAAGAGCATATGAGGGGGTCTGAATCAGAGAAAAATCTCATTCCTGTGATGGAGGAGGTGAGCAGCAAATAACTAGGCCTCAGCAACGTCCTGGGAGTATTCCAGTCAGGCTTCATGAGGCAAGTAAATGGCCTACACCTATAGCAAGGACATTATTCAACTTTAGTCAGAGACACACAGTTTATTTTTATCCACAGATGCCCCTTACATGCATAGGCAGTTCTTTGGTGAAGGTGAACTATCCCTTTACACTAAACTCTTCAACTTAAAGGTTTTCCAAAACAGTTACATTCAGGGCAGGCAGTGAATTGTAACTGTTGCAATTGCTTGTGCTCTTGACTGAACTGTCAAGGCATCAAATAGCTGGACACATGAAGAGGAAACAGAGGTTAAAATGGCAGCTTCCTTGGCAGTAAAGGATAGAAGAGTTTAGGTCTGCATTAATGAACCTTGCAGCAGAACCTGGAATGTGCAACAATGTGTGTTGCTAGCGCTTAGGCCTGATGTCAAACAGGAAAACTAATATGTGCAAAAATGGCCACTCACTGTTGTATATTTTGATAGAGTTTGGAGACAAAATATTATTTTCAGTCTGTGGTAGTCCATGAAGCAGGATTTTTTGTTAGTGGGACAAATAGAAAAATTAGTCATGGAGTTATTAACAGTGTTACTGATGCATAGTGATGCTGCTAAATTTCAGCCAACAATAGATGGATCGAATCTTGGCAGGTTCCCCAGGGCCCGGGTGAGATTCAGTCAATCTATGGGCAAGCTAGCTGTACATAAGTCAATCTATTGGTTGACCTCAGTACAACCAGCTTGTTGGATTTTTTTCATGTGATCACTGCCAGCGGTTATAGTTACCAGAAGTAATCACTGTGTTCTGCCAGCAAGGAAAGCTTCCTGCTGGCAGAATACAATAGCGCTGTGGGAGGGATTCCCCCATCAACACTGACTGTGTTGATGGGGGAATCGAGTGATGTATAATTTATAGCAGGGTCTCTCAACCAGGGTTCCATGGAATCCTAAGATAGCTCCAAAGGTTGCTAGGGTTCCTTGAGCAATGAGCAGTTTTTGCATCTCAGGTAGATTCCCACTGATACCATGATCTTTTTAGCTATCTGTAAGGAGGTAATTCTTCTGAATGAAAGTGTAAGGAGCATTCTTCTCATTAACCATCACACAATGTATCATGAGTTGAAGACTGAGTAATTTTTAACAGGGGTTCCCTGAGAGCAGGAAATTAATTGTAAGGGTCCTCTGTGTTGAAAAAGTTGAGTTCCCCTAAAGGGGAAGGTACCTGCTCCCACTTGTGGTGCGATCGCCTAAGGTGATTGGAAATGGAAGTTGTCCTCCCCCTAACTCCCTGTAGACTATGGGACCACTCACTACAAGCTGTCACAGCTGGGTATCCACACTAAGAATGCTGGCGCTGGGGGGAGAAAACGGCTGGTGAAAACCAGCCATGGTGAGGACACCACTGGACCAAGGGACAGGTAAGTGTCTGTGTTTTAAAAGTCAGCAGGTACATTTTTGTAGCTGCAGTGTTTCTAGCTGCTGATTTTTTTTATTCAACTGGAACTCCGCTTTAATGTAACTATAGGTAATTGAATCAAGCAGGGTTGGGCCAAGGAGTGGGCAGAGGAAGCAGCAGCTTTGCAAACTTTAGAGAAGAAGGGGAAGCAAAAGGGGCAGGACCTGTAACGTACAGTATGCTCATGGATTGTGTCACATTAGCCTTTTTGCCTTGGGTGCCAAAGAACCTTGTTCCATCACTAGAAACCACTGATGAAGATATCTGTAGAACCAAGCAACCTGATGAAGATATCTGTAAAAATTTGGCAGTTTTTTAAAATAGTGCAGATTTTCTTCTAAGTCAGTGGTCTCCAAATTGTGGCCCGGGGTCAGATGCAGCCCTTTGCTTGCTTTTATTTATTATTCCTCCCACTGCCAGCAACAGTGGGGGGCACGATTTCTCCCGTTGATACCAATGATGGGGCACTATTCCTCCCACTGACACCAATGATGGGGCACTAGTCCTCCCACTGACACCACTGATGGGGCACTATTCCTCCTAATGATACCAATGATGGGGCACTATTCCTCCCACTTACACCAATGATGGGACACTATTCCTCCTAATGATACCAATGATGGGGCACTATTCCTCCCACTGACACCAATGATAGGGCACTATTCCCTCCAATGATACCAGTGATGGAGCACTATTCCTCCCACTGACAACAGTGATGATGGGGCACTATTCCTCCCACTGACACCAATAATGAGGTACTATTCCTCCCACTGACACCAATGATGGGACACTATTCCTCCACTGACACCAATGATGGGGCACTATTCCTCCCACTGACACCAATGAGGGGACACTATTCCTCCCGCTGACACTAAATAATGGGACACTATTTGTTAAGGATCCGCCAGGTGGTGCCTCAGGCTGCCAACCGACAGAACTACTCAGAGCGTGGGGTCTAAGCCCGGGCTGTGCTTTCACCAGGGCCCCTGATGGTGGGGATGGACTTGAAACAGTCCCGGGCCAGGTCACGACCTCCGAGCAGGCCCACCAGTGGCTGAGGAGACCTTTGGGGACAGGTACCGGGAGAGCCAGATATGAAGAGGATGGCGGCCCCAGCAGGGTAATAACGGATCGTGGGCCCGTGAGGGTAAGCGGGGTACAGAATCGGTAGGCGAAGAGTAGTCGGGTCACACGCAGGGTCAGCAGGGAAGTCAGTCCGTAGAATGGTCAGGGCAATCCGGGTCAAACGCAGGAGCAGGCAGAGTAGTCAGGACAATCCGGGTCAATCACAGGAGCAGGCAGAATAGTCAGGGCAATCCGGGTCAATCACAGGGGCAGGCAGCGTAGTCAGGGTCAATCAGGGTCACTAGACGGGTGCAGGAACTCAGGATCACAGGAAGACCTTGCGGCAATCTGTGACAGTGCAGGGCATCTTTAAATAGTGCACCCTGCACTGTCTTTGGCCGGCTAGGACGCGCCCCCGGCTGTCATTGGACGCCTGAGGCGCGCCCGCGGCTTCTACTGCTAGCGCATGCGCGGCGTCCTGTCAGCCGCGGCTCGCCGGGACCTAGTGCCTGTGTAGAGCCGCGATCGTGGACCACGGAGCCGCGATCCCTGACACTATTCCTACCACTGAGACCAATGATGGGGCGCTATTCCTCCCAATGATACCAATGATGGGGCATTGTTTACTACTCCACTGACACCAGTACATTTTCTTCTCCCACTGGCCACAGTCTGGCACCCCTAAAGTTTGTGGGACAGTAAAACCGGCCCTTTGTTTAGAACGTTTGGAGACCCCTGTTCTAAGGTGACTGGCTTTAATGAAAATCATTTTTATCTATTTAACCCCTAAAAAAAATCAACAAAATGATTGTTTACTCTCCATTATTGCAGGGGGTAGTGGTTGCCTTTGTAGGCTTCTTTTCTATTATTAGTATTCGTTGATCCTACCAGGAACAACCGTACCTTCAACTTCTTGCACTAGGTTGATAATGCGCACCAAGTGTACCTCTTTGCAAGAGCAGTGTTGTATGATGAATGCTCCAACTGTGGACTACAGGCTGGCCCTGAATTGGCAGGTTTAGTCTGAATTCTATATCTGAGGCCTGCCTACTCTACAGCTTCCAGCTTCTGTACCACTCATCACTACAACATACACACTCATAGCTGAACTCACAGCTCAGAGCTGCACAGCCATGCTCTGTGCTTGACTAATGCCAATAAAGCATAATCGGCTTGCTTTACAACTTACCTTTTTGTGGAGTGGGTCCAGTGTCACCCTGTATAGGTTGCATGCGGACGATAATGCGGGGTGACACTGGTGTATCGGCAAGATGTGTTTTCCATGTAGATATGTCTATATTCTATAAGACAAAAAAAGTGGTCAGTTATATACACATATCTTAGGGCCTGGTTTACACTAGCCAATGCAGGCAATGCGATAAAATGCTGCATTTACTGTGTGGGCAGCTGCCAGCGTGAGCTCCGGCAGGGAGAGGAGCACATCCCACTGCTTACTTTTTTCTTCTCTCTTTTTTTTTTTTTTACTTATTTTATTATAGGTACTTATATAGCACCGTCAATATAAGCAGCACTTTACATATATATTGCACATTCACATCAGTCCCTAACCCTCAAGGGGCGTACAATCTAAGGTCCCTAACTCACATTCAGGAGGAAACCAGAGTACATGGAGGAAACAAACGCAGGCACAGGGAGAATATTTGGAGTGTCACTAGTGACACTTGATTCATGTCTTTGCACAGCAGAGTGGTGTGTTGCACTGCATGTGGTGACAAGTGGTACCATCTGCATTTTTCTGCAATGCACCACACCGCACATCACACCAGATAATTATTTTCTATATGCCCTACTGGTGACCTGCGTTAATCTAGGAAAAGTGCGGGTTGCTGCACATAGTGTGAGCCAGCCCTCAAATTTTAAGATGGCATTGACAGAAAATATTATTCATGCAGTGATGGTCAGGCAGCAAATATAGTCATACAGACTTACCATATCTTTTTTTTGGTATCTCTAATTAAGTTACAAATATTTTTTCTTGTTAGTTTGCTTTTGCTGTTGGCCAACATAAATGGAAGGTGTTGAACATTTTTTGTCAAGATTCTTGCACACAAACAATGACAAAAATTAGTTCTCTGTCAGTTCTGGTCAGACAATAAATTTGAGTTTTAAGAAGACACAAATGGGTTGATTTACCAAAACTGGAGAGTGCAAAATCTGGTGCAGCTGTGCATGGGAGCCAATCAGCTTCTAACTTCAGCTTGTTCAATTAACCACTTGAGCTCCAGAGGATTTACCCCCCTTAATGACCAGACCTCTTTTTGCTACTTGGCGCTGCACTAATTCAATTGACAATTGTTCGGTCATGCAATGCTGCAGCTAAACGAAATTTACATCCTTTTTTTCACACAAATAGAGCTTTCTTTTGGTGGTATTTGATCACCTGTGCGCTTTTTATTTTTTATGCTATAAACAAAAAAATACCAAATATTTTGAAGAAAAACAATATTTTTTACTTTCAGCTATAAAAAATATATAGTAAACTCAAAGTTAGTTATAAATTTAGGTCAAAATGTATTCTGCTACATGTTTTTGGTAAAAAAAATGCCAATAAGTGTATATTGATTGCTTTGTGTGAAAGTTATAGCGTCTACAAACTATGGTATAGATACTGCAATTTACGACATTTTTTTTGCTATACAGCGCTGCGCTAGTTTAATGGACAATGGCGCGGTCATGCAAAATTGTACATAAATGAAATTTATGTCATTTTTTTAACACAAATAGAGCATTCTTTTGGTGGTATTTGATCACCTGTGCACTTTTTATTTTTGGCGCTATAACCAGAAATTTTTGAAGAAAAAATGTTTTTTGAAAAAAAACAATATTTTCTCATTTTGATCATAAAAAATATCTAAAAAAACTAAAATTTCGTCATAAAATTAGGCCAAAATGTATTCTGCTACATGTTTTTGGTTAAAAAAATCCCAATAAGTGTATATTGATTGCTTTTTGTGAAAGTTATAGCGTCTACAAACTATGGTATAGATAATGGAATTTATACAGCTTTTACTTTCTGACTGCCCATCACATTTCTTGAGGTGCTAAAATACCAGAATAGTACAAACACCCTCAAATGACCCCTTTTCGGAAATTAGACACCCTAAGCTATCTGCTGAGAGGCATATTGAGTCTATGGAAGATTTATTTTTTTTCCACAAGTTTCTGGAAAATGACAAAAACTTTTTTTTTTTTTTTTTTTTTTACACAAAGTTGTCATTTAAATGATTTCTTTCTCGCACAAGCCATGGGTATATGTGGAATTACACCCAAAAATACATTCTGCTACTTCTACTGAGTATGGGGATACCACATGTGTGAGACTTTTTGGGAGCCTAGCCACATACAGGAGCCTGAAATCCAATGACCAGTTTGAAAGCCTGAAGGTGCGTAACTTCCTCATTTCACTTCCTCACTACCTATCACAGTTTTGAAGGCCCTGACATGCCAGGATAGCCCCAAACCCCCCCAAATGACCCTTTCTGGAAAGTAGACACCCCAAGGAATTTAAAAAGAGGCATGGTGAGTATTTTGCAGATCTTATTTTTTTCTCACAAGGTTTTGAAATATAAAAAAAGAACAGAAAAAATATGTTTTTGTTTTTTTTTTCATTTTCCAAAAACTTGTTGCAACAAATGAGATCTGCAAAATACTTACCGTGCCTCTTATCAAATTCTTTGGGGTGTCTACTTTCCAAAAAGGGGTAATTTGGGAGGGTTAGGTGCTATCCTGGCATTTCAGAGCCTCCGAAACTGTGATAGGTAGTCTGGAAGTGTAATGAGGAAATAAAGCCCTTTAAAAGCCTGAAGGTGCTTGTTGGATTTTGGGGTCCTGTACTTGGCTAGACTGCCAAAACGTCTCTCACATGTGGTACCCCCATACTCAGAAGAAGTAGCAAAATGTATTTTGGGGAGTAATTCCACATATAACCATGGCATGTGTGAGCAGTAAATAATTTAAGTGACAATTTTGTGTAAAAAAAAAAAAATTATTTTTGTCATTTTCCAAAAACTTGTGGTAAAAAAATAAATTCTTCTATTGATTCAACATTCCTCTCAGCAAATAGTTTGGGGTGACTACTTTCCAAAAAGGGGTCATTTTGGGGGGTGGGGGCGTTTTATGCCCAGCATTAGAAGTTTATGCCACACTTCATTCACTCTTCTAACCACCTGAAGACCAAGCCTTTTTGTTCACATGAAAACAATCAGTATTTTTTGCTAGGAAATTAATTTAAACCCCCAAACATTATATATTTTTTTAAAGCAGGCACCCTATGAATAAAATGGTGGGTACTACAATTTTTTATGGCACATAGTACTCGCGCAGCGATTTTTCAAATGCAATTTTTTTTTAAAAAAAATACACTTTTTTTACTTTTAATGCACAAAAACACAATATATTGGCCAATTGTTTGGTAAAATATAAAAGATAATGGTATGCCGAGTAAATAGATACCAAACATGACATGCTTTAAAACTGCGCATGCCACGTTCAATGGCGACAAACTGCAAACATTTTTAATATCCATAGGCAGCGCTTTAATAGCCTTTAAAAGCCACCATTTTAGATTTACAGAGGAGGTCTAGTGTTAGAATTACTGCCCTCGATCTGACGTTCACGGCAATACCTCACATGCATGGTTCAACCGCTGTTTACATAACGGCACAGGGTCAAGGCTTGTGCACACAGGTGTGCGCACATGGGAGGGGCAATTTTTTTTTTTTTTAGTTATTTTGATTTTTTTTTAATTATTTTTACATTGTACCTTTCATTTTTTTTTTTTTATCACTTTTAATGCTATAACAGGGAATGTAAATAACCCCTATAACTTCAATGGGCATTGTGTCATATATTCTTTTTTGAGAAATCTGGGGTCTATCAGACTCTAGATATCTCCTCTGCCCTTACATTATCTAATCAAACCAAAATCGGTGTGATCAGATGCTTTCCCAATTTACAAATGGCGCTGTTTATATCCTGCGAAACTGAAGTGATGAAATGCTTGTAGCTTCCGAATTCTTAGACTATAGAGATGATTGGCATCATTCTGGTGTCCAATCAGCTCTATGGTCAGCTGGCAGAAACACCGGCTGCATTCTCAGGTTCCCCCGATGGCACGAGACTGCCCGAGAAGGCCGTGGAAGGCAGCGGGGGAGGGGGGACATAATCTCCCACTGCTTTGTAAAAGCAATCTTGCAGCTAATTAGCCACTAGGATTGCTTTTACATGAAAGCCGATCACCCGCTGAAAAAAACGATACCAGGATGATGCCTGCAGCTGTAGGCATCATCCTGGTATAACCATTCAAATCCAGTGATGTACCAGATACGTCGCTGGTCCTTGTTGGGTATATATGCTATGTTCTTTTTTTTTTTTTGTATGCAGCCAGTGGACTGAATGAAAAAAATGAGAAGAAATCTCTGCCAGAAAAAGTGTGTGGTATGCCCACCATTAGAATATACCGCCCTGCATCCACCCACTTCTAATGGTGGGCACACATTAGGTCACACTTTGCCACAAGTGCCAGTTCCAAGATTGAATAAATGTCTAAATAGTGGTACGCTTGAATAAAAATTGTCCACGTATAAGTGGTACCCCATATGGAGAAATGATGACACCAAGTCCCAAACTATCTTGTCACTGCTCCCCATGTATTCTGGG